AAAATAATGCTAAAGAATTATATCAGTCTGGCTTCAGACCAAACCATAGCACAGAAACAGCTTTTATCATGATGATTTGCTTATGGCTTCTGACCATTGTTGTATATCTTTGTAGGTGTTTCTAGATCTAACTGCAGCATTCAATACTGTGGACATAATATCCCCGTGGACTGGCTAGAATCTGTGTTTGGCATTAAGGGGACAGCTCTCTCTTGGTTTCACTCCGATTTAGCTGATTGTTATCAGTTTGTCCATTTGAACAATGAATCTTCCAAACCCACTAAAGGCAAATATGGTGTCCCACAGGGATCAGTACTGGGCCCGCTACTGTTCACTTTATATATGCTACTGGTAACATTATTAGAAATCAATGGTGTTGAGTTTCAGTGTTATGTTGATGATACACAGTTATACATATCTGTTAAACCAGATGATTCATACTGCTAGTTGGACACAAGGCTGCTTGAAATGAGTTTGACAACCTCAATATCGGTGGTTTTCCTACTCAGTTTAAAATAGTGGTCAGGGATCTTGGTGTCCTGGTAGATTCAGATCTATGTTTCGATGCTCACATGAGAAGCATTACAATACAATTACTGTGTTCTACCATCTACAGAACATAGCCAAGCTTTGGAGGATGCTCTCCTTTCATGATGAAGAAAAACTAATACAAGCCTTTATACCTGCCTTACTGGACTACTGTAATGCCCTCTTTTCTGGTCGCCCAACCAGATCCGTACATTAACTTCAGCTAGTACAAAATGCAGCAGCCAGAGTTCTATGCTCCCTTCACTGGCTTCCAGTCTTGGCTTGACTACAAAATACTGCTGTTAACTCATAAAGCACTGTATGGCTTTGCACCAGAATACCACTGGGGATCTACTGGTCTCCTACAACCCTCCTCACCTGCTGCAATCTCAAGGCACAGGATATCTATTAGTACCTAGAGTAGAAAATAGCTATAGCAGGCTGCAGAGCATTCTCTTATAGAGCTCCACAGCGTCTTCCAGCGGATGAGACTTTTGCCATCTTGATCATGTGACTTTGACTTCCTCTGCCGGCCCCTGGAGGACGGGCTCCCCCTTTGAGTCTGGTTAGGGTTAGGGCTTCCTCTACTGCCCCCTGGAGGTTGGGCTCCCCCTTTGAGTCTGGTTAGGGTTAGGGCTTCCTCTGTCGCCCCCTGGAGGATGGGCTCCCCCTTTGAGTCTGGTTAGGGTTAGGGCTTCCTCTACTGCCCCCTGGAGAATGGGCCCCCCTTTGAGTCTGGTTAAGGTTAGGGCTTCCTCTACTGCCCCCTGGAGGTTGGACTCCCCCTTTGAGTCTGGTTCCTCCCAAGGTTCCTTCTTTCTAGGGAGTTTTTCTTGCCACTGTCTCCTCTGGCTTACCTACTGGGGGCTTTGGGCAGGGATAATGTAAACTGCTTTGAGACAATGTAATGTTGTGAAAATGCACTAGATTAATAAAATTGAACTGAATAAAAAAAGTTGCCATCATACAACTATGTAATGCTAAGAAACCAAAAAGTCACATATCAAACTGAGACCCAGTACTGACAACCAACCTGCCCCATGCAGCCACCAGTCTCTGCCAGATCCCTGCAGCTGACAGTGTATGAGCTTAATGAGGGATCATTTCCAATCAGTGCTGGCTGGGTTTCAGTACCTGAGGCATCCAGCATCGTGACGCTCCAAACTCCAGCCCTGTGCTGTTTTTATACCTCCTGTCAGCTCACATAACTATTGTACAATGAGGCTCTCTGGAGTCTCAAAA